ATTACGTCTACAAAATGCAGTGTTACAGACATTCTTATTTTAACAATGAGAAAAAAGGTGCACAGGCTGCCATAGAACATTCATATTTGGTGCACATTCCCCAAGGGATTAATAAGTACCTACCTACCTACATTTGTACAGGCTGCCGCTCCCGCGAGAACGCTCCCGTCAGTAAGCGCGCAGACGCGGACACCTGCATCTTCGGCACGCGGACACGTGCCTCATCAGTTTCAAGCGGCACCATGCGGCAGCGAGAGCTCTGCTCCATTAAGTTTAACACGGACAATTAACAACTTTCTCCTTCTCTCTTTTGATGTGTGTGCATGAATGATTAAGGTGAGAAGCCGCCCATGTTTACAGATTGTATATGCATATTTGCATATTTTAGACTGACTGGCCGGTCGCAGGTCATGGCCGATCATGTGAAAACCGGCCCAATTCCGAGCACTGCCGATTAATCGGTGCAAGTCTATTCAAAATGTGTTGTCCATTTTTTTGATACGCGAGGCAGTGACGTACTGGAAATTAACCACTTTTTGTGTTTCACAGAAGAAGCAGGTGTGAAATATGGCAGGCGAGGAGGAAAAACTTTGCGCACTCATACGGGCACACCCCCATTTATATGACAGTTCTAGTGCCCTGCACTCTAATGAAATAGCAGTACTAGCTAGCTACAGCAGAACTAGCTAGCCGGAATGTACCGGTGTCTCTGCTACCCTTTAATGCGCGAGCGGTGTATTGCATTTCAAGTGTCGCCCACGTCGCTTGCGTTCAGTGTGTTGACTATGAAAGGAAGTGCATTGCTTGCGTCGCTTGCTCTCATTGCGTGCGTCCACTATGAAACGGCCCTTAAAATGTCATCTTGTTGTGATATTGGAAGACTAGAGTGCGCTCTACCTCTCCAAGAGTGCGGCGCTCTGGATAACTGAACAGTACATTCAGACAGTGCTCCAAATGAACTGTCCAGTTTGTGCTAGAGTGCATGAGTATTTCTGAATGCACCACTCGCATCATCTTCCTCCATTGTCTAAAACAAGCCAACAGAACTTGCTGAACTTGTTACTCTTTTCCCTCTCTTTGCTCAAACAGTATCTCTGTCTCACCAATATCGATTGTTTTTCAAGATATTATTTATTCATTGTTGGCCAGCAGTTTGTCTTTTGAGTCTTACCAACTCTTACTTTATCCACTGTTTCCATCAGTGTACTGGTTGTTTTTTGATCAAATGTAGCTCCAGTTCTCTCCCTCTAAACACACTGGAAACTCCTGCCTTAAAGGCTCAGTGAATCACCTGCAGGGGCTTTTGAAGAATTGTTGCGTTCACATGTGATTATTTGACAACTTACTGAAACAAATGCAGCACTTTCATGCTCTGCCTTTGCATAATACATGATATTTTTCAGGCTGCAGTAAAATATTCCTCCCACGTATTTGGGATATTGTGTATTTCTCTGTCTGTTCCTGCTTCGGTGAAAAGTTTAGACGTTTCAGGTAGCTGCTAGGTGTCTCACTGTGAGTTATGTCTATGACGCCACTGCTCATATTTTTCACAAGACATTAGGGTTTGGTCAGCAAATACGTCATTTGCTTCTGGCTCTCTCCCACATGTAAAACATGAGATGTTTAAGGTGGCTGCATCCCGCGCGTCCATATATCTCAGTGTAATGCACATCAAACTGTCTCTGCACACACGGGCGGCTGTAACTCTTTGGGATTTTGATGTCTGACTTGTTGCCCAGTTTTACATCGGTGTAAGGTTTAATGTTACTGTAAGACATGATATATGATACGCCATGTTTCAGAGCCGTCTTGGACAGATGTAGAATATATTAACACACAAGCACACTCTCATTCCCATGCAGAAATAGATACCAAATACAGCTGGAATACGACGTTCTGTCAAGCTTTCTTGCCTTGTCCTGTTTCCCGCCTTTCCTTACACACACACGCACACACACACACACACGCGCACACACACACACACACACACACACACACACACGCACACAGGGTAAAATAGTTGTGTGAGCGTCTGTCTTTGTACCGTATGTCTTCCTTACTCCAACACTTTGGTAATCTTCAGCCCCTGATGTATATTATTCATTTGCGTGTGTGTGTGTGTGTGCGTGTGCGCCCAAGAACAGCATAATATGAATAAAGAAATAAAGATTCAACAGATATGCCCATAAAACCACATGAAACATCCACAAACACGTAAATACGCACTAATAACATGTAAATACACACGCATGGGGAACACACTGCAATATACACCACAACCAGGCAGAGTACACAAACAAAACTACACACAGATACACACATCTGCCCTGCAGGGCTCCAACATGCATCTTTCCCACTGATAAATCATCTGTTGCGACCTTCACACGTACACACACACTCGTAAAACACACGCAGAGACGTATTTTCCTTGTGATATACATTAAATATGCACATGCTCCTTTTCTTCCCAGACTTGCGTGTGCTCGCGGGCATGTGTGTTTGTCATGCGCTCGGAGTATGCAGGTGTGTTTGTGTGCGCGTCGCAGCCGGCCGGAGGAATTTGCTGATGGTGTGTGTGTGTAACAGCGGGGCGTCGGGTCTGAAATCCCAATCTGGATGAATTAGAGCCGATTTTGCGCCGCGCTGTTCTGCTTTACTGACATTTAACACACATCTCCACCTCAATCTACTGCTCTCCTGCTAGCTCCAAGTCAGTTTCACACACACACATGAGCACACACACTCTCATGTCTCTCTGGTCGAGGTATTTCTTTGGATAGCTTTGAGGTGTAACTTCCAACAAGACTTGATTAATGTAAGACTCACATACAGAAGATTTTGTTTGGCTTGTGGAGAGTATTTTTTAGAGAGGACAAGAAGAGAGGAGTTTTTTTGGAACTTACTGTTTGGGTTGTAAGTTTAGGTTGTAGTGAAGCCAATTTCATTTATACTAGCACAGTGCCTGTTGCAGCTTTGTCAAGAATCGCTTATCGAAACAGCTTTACACTCGATGCTGCCGTTCATGGGGTCGTGAGCAATACACCTGCTATGACATAGGCCACGTTCACATTACTGGGCTTAACACTCATTTCCAATTATTTTCTTGCCTGGACTGGTCACATTCATGTTTAAAGTGACCTATATCTGACATCAGTCTGAACTGATCATGCAGCCAGTATCCTCACACTCATGGGTTTTGAAACAACACAGCTACAGCAGCCTTTGGTAGTTTCAGCGGACCACTCCAACTCTGTATACTGATAGATCTGCACCTACGCAGTGAAGTATGACATGGAAAATAACATGGATGTATGGTAAAAGCACACATGAATTCCAGTGTCTGTCCACACAGCAGTTGCAATGCCAGTGACCTGATATGTATTGACTTTAGGACAACTTATGACAGTGGCAGCTGTGGTTCAAAGGTAGAGCGGGTTGTCCACTTATCGGAAGATCGGCGGCTCAATCCCTGGCTCCTCCATCCTCGGGCAAGATACTGAGCCCCAAATTGCTCCCGATGGCTATTACAACAGTGTGTGAGTGCAAGTGGCACTTTGTATGGTAGCCTTGGCCACCAGTGTGTGAATGGGTAAATGTGACATTTAGAATTAATGGGCTTTGAGTGGTTGGAAGACAAGTGCAGTCCATCTGCATGGAAAAATTCAGGTTTCTATTTCACATGAGAGCAAAAATATTGGTTTCGGGCCACATTTGCTTGTAATGTAAACTAGTCTTTAGTTGCGTTTCCTAGCAATGTTAGAGTAAGGTCGTTTGGCAGCAAAAGCTCACACCAACATTTTTGGCCTCGGTGAAGTCCAGGTCTGGCTGTTACCGGGAACAAAAACATTCATTCTGAAAGTTACGTCACTGATGCTTAAAATATTGGAGTTTGCTAAAACGTTGCATCTGCGCTCTCTTTCTTTATCTGTTGTTGAATGTACTATAGCAAGAGACTGAAAGTAAGCTGTCCCCAGCATGCCTTTCGGTGGTGTAACAGTTAACATGGGTCCCCTCTCAAAACACTACACAGTATGTACATAACACACTACTATGAATATTTCCCATAGATCTCACAGCTCACACTTGACACTGCACTTCCTTGAGTCCTCTGCAATACACCCGCCAAGTGTGAAGTTGAGAAAGTAGAATAGAAGGACAGACGGATGGACGGACGGACTGAGAGTCCTTTAGTTTAATTTAGACAGCTCAAAATCCCAAATTATGAACGTGCCTCAAAAGGCTTTCCAGTGTCCACACCATCCGTCTTTAAACCTTTGATATGGACAAAGAAAAAACATCTTTTAAGGTGAAAATTGTAATAAATATACTCTGGGCTATCTGCAACCTTTGCCTTATCTGACAGTGTTTATCATGTTGGAGATTGCTTCAAAGATTTCACCACTTACCTCACTGGACATGATTAAAACACTTCCTGTCAACACGACATCCACACTGCAATTAAACACTTAACACAGTTGGAATCTCACATTGTTTATTTTAAATATTGCAGACAATAAAGATTGAATTGATTTGGAGCAGCTTTTCCTCAGAGACGAGGTTCACGTGGAGACAGTCCAGTAAAATATTTTAAACAGAACTTTGTTGAGGAGAAAACTGGGTTTACAGCAGTAGTTGTGGTTGGGATCATTTTATATATACAGTAGTGTGGTGATTGGAGTCAGTGTGTAAAAGTTTGATTGTTTTATGCTCAAATTTGAGAGATGTCGTGAGGCTAATTCACAAGATTGCAGATTTTTGAAAGTCATTGAACAGTAGACAAAACATTTCAGCTGTGACAATGCTGCTTTAATGTCAAATAAAAAAGCAGCACAACATGATTTCATCAGTTCAGAAACCTTCTTCATGTGTTTAACTCATTAGAGCTCTCACATCCAGAACCATTTACGTAAATGATTTTCAAATGATGTACGGCAAACATGTCGTGATTTCGACATAGTCAGTTGAATTAGTGTGAACATCACCAGCAGTTTGGATTTGATACCATAACACACTGCGAGAGAAGAGGAGGAGGAAGGACGAGGAGAAGAAGATGAGAAGAGTGCAAAACTGATAAAATGAAGAGAATAAAATAGACTAAAGAGGTCAGGGCAAGAGTTATAAATCTGTTTTGGGGGGAGGGGGCTGGCTGGAGGATAATAAAATGAAAGAAAAGACGCAGAAATGTTTTTTATAGCGGGGAGAAAAGGAGGGAAAGCAAAGAGGTGGAGAGGAGAAAGACAGCTGTCCAACAACAACTGAGTGGAGCCA